CAGCAACTTACTTTCAAACTGTCCTCCTCCTGAAGAATCAATTTGCTAAACTTTACTTTATCTTTCTATCTTTTCTCACTTACATTATACAATTTTTTTTCTTTTCCGTCTTGATTTTTTCTTGGCCTCTCTGTTCTTTTTCCTCTTCTTGTTTTTGTACCTGTTTTTTTCATGTTCTTGTTCTTGTTAATGTTCTTGTACTTGTTACCGTTCTCTTTCGTATATTCCTTCTTGCTATTTTTCTTGCTTTATATCCTTTTAAAGTTTGTTGATCTTTTTCGAATGTTCTTGTTACTATTTTCTTTCTTGTGCTTGTTCTATTTCTTGCCTTTTTTTGTTTATTATGTTTTTTTTCTAGTTTTTATTCTTGTTTATGTTAATGTTTTGACTCTGCTCTTGTTCTGTTATTGATTTAGCTTCTAAATTTCAATCATATTCTGATAGTTTTACTCATTTTCGCCATTTTTGTAGTTCTTGTTCATTTCTTGATTCTGTTGTTCTTGTTCTTGTTCTTGTTCTTGTTCTTGTTCTTGTTCTTGTTCTTGTTCTTGTTCTAGTTCTAGTTCTAGTTCGTATAACCTCTAATGCACTATCTTATTCATTTTCTTCTTCCCAAAACATTGAAAAATGTTCCTTCCAAGTTTTTGCGGCGAAGAAATATTTTTGAAGGAAGGAAGGAAGGAAGGAAATTTAGTTTTAAAATAAAATTTAAGAATTGACAGTTGACGTTAAATCTATTTTCTGTAAAACCCTGCGGTCAAAATAGAAATTCAAAGGCTCTCTGACATAATCCAAAAAATGTAAAAACTTTTTTTAATCAGATTAGATTAAATCAAGTTAAATTGAATTAGCGTAGCTTGTTAAAACTTTTAAATTGTTTAAATTAAAAAAAGTTGATTTAGTTCTACAGACAAGCAAGCTCTTTGTTTCAGGAAATCAGAGATAGGTTTACAAAGGAACTTTGTATTGAGGAAAATCAGAGATAGGTTTACAAAGGAACATTGCATTTAGGAAAATCAGGCTATAGGTTTACAAAGGAACATTGCATCTAGGAAAATCAGGCTATAGGTTTACAAAAGAACATTGCATTTAAGAAAATCAGGCTATAGGCTTACAAAGGAACATTGTATTGAGGAAAATCAGGCTATAGGTTTACAAAGGAACATTGCATTTAGGAAAATCAGGCTATAGGTTTACAAAGGAATATTGTATTGAGAAAAATCAGGCTATAAGTTTACAAAAGAACATTACATTTAGGAGAATCAGGCAATAGGTTTTAAAAAGAACATTGCATTTAGGAAAATCAGGCTATAGGTTTACAAAGGAACATTGTATTGAGGAAAATCAGGCTATAGGTTTACAAAAGAATATTGTATTGAGAAAAATCAAGCTAAAGGTTTACAAATGAACATTGTATTGAGGAAAATCAGGCTATAGGTTTACAAAGAAATATTGCATTGAAAATCAGGCTATAGGTTTACAAAGGAACATTGTATTGAGGAAAATCAGGCTATAGGTTTACAAAGGAATATTGTATTGAGAAAAATCAAGCTAAAGGTTTACAAATGAACATTGTATTGAGGAAAATCAGGCTATAGGTTAACAAAGGAATATTGCATTGAGGAAAATCAGGGTTTAGGTTTTCAAAGGAATATAGCATTTAGGAAAATCAGGCTATAGGTTTACAAAGGAATAATGCATTTTGGAAAATCAGGCTATAGGTTTACAAAGAAATATTGCATTGAGGAAAATCAGGCTATAGGTTTACAAAGGAACATTGCATCTAGGAAAATCAGGCTATAGGTTTAAAAAAAGAACATTGCATTTAGGAAAATCAGGCTATAGGTTTACAAAGGAACATTGTATTGAGGAAAATCAGGCTATAGGTTTACAAAGGAATATTGTATTGAGAAAAATCAAGCTAAAGGTTTACAAATGAACATTGTACTGAGGAAAATCAGGCTACAGGTTTAAAAAGAAATATTGCATTGATGAAAATCAGGCTTTAGGTTTTCAAAGGAACATTGCATTTAGGAAAATCAGACTATATGTTTACAAAGGAACATTGCATTTAGGAAAATCAGGCTATAGGTTTACAAAGGAATTTGTATTGAGGAAAATCAGAGATAGGTTTACAAAGGAACATTGCATTTCGGAAAATCAGGCTAAAGGTTTACAAAGGAACTTTGCATCTAGAAAAATCAGGCTATAGGTTTACAAAAGAACATTGCATTTAGGAAAATCAGGCTATAGGTTTACAAAGGAACATTGTATTGAGGAAAATCAGGCTATAGGTTTACAAAGGAACATTGTATTGAGGAAAATGAGGCTATAGGTTTACAAAGGAACATTGCATTTAGGAAAATCAAGCTATAGGTTTAGAAAGGAACATTGCATTTAGGAAAATCAGACTATAGGTTTACAAAGGAACATTGCATTTAGGAAAATCAGGCTATAGGTTTACAAATGAATAATGTATTGAGAAAAATCAGGCTACAGGTTTACAAAAGAACATTGCATTTAGGAAAATCAGGCAATAGGTTTAAAAAAGAACATTGCATTTAGGAAAATCAGGCAATAGGTTTACAAAGGAACCTTGTATTGAGGAAAATCAAGCTAAAGGTTTACAAAGGAATATTGTATTGAGGAAAATCAGGCTATAGGTTTACAAAGGAACATTGTATTGAGGAAAATCAAGCTAAAGGTTTACTGCGGAATATTGTATTTAGGAAAATCGGGGAAAAACTAAAAACCCTTCCTAAAATGCACAGATCATTGGATATTATTGAGATGTATGTAAATTATGTTCATGTTCATTATATATGTATATTATGTTCATGATTCAGAAATGTTGCCAAAACCTGATATACCATTTCTGCCTACGTAGTACATAATATAACAGTTTTTTACACACAAAAAATGGAAAAGGAGAAAACCTTTGAAAAAAAATAGAAAAGTGAAGCCCCAAGCAATAAGTATACAGGAGAAAACAAAATTTTGCCAAACAAGAAAAAAACGTTTGGAAATTTGGAAAATTTGTATATTTGAAAAGCTCTTGAAAAATGGATGCAATAATTCATGTGTGGCATTTTAATATTTGTCATGATAACTTTTTTCCGACGTACTTTTGGAAATTTTTTCTGCACCCTAACCATTAAAATAGGTGTCGTATCGTTTGCACTAATATTGATCGGACTAACGTACATTCGCACAAATTCGTTCATTCGGACTAACGTTTATCGTGACTGAACAACTAATTGTTCAATCAAACTAAAAACCACGTGGAAGGTTTTTCGAGCACGTGGAGAACTATTTTTCAAAATTCTAGCGGAATTCGGTTCATTTAATTAATTTATAGTTCCATTGAACATATTGTAGTGGGAATGAACAAAAAATGTTCGATTGAACTAAAGCTAAAAGTTCCGGTAAAATCGATGTTAGTACTAATGAACATATTTAGTGCAAATGAACAAAAAAATGTTCAATCGAACTAAAATCTAAAATTTTACCATTTGCCCATAAAACATTAACTAGTACAAATGAACATATTTTAGTGCAAATGAACAAAAATATGTTCAATCGAACTAAAATCTAAAATTTCACCATTTGCCCACTTGCAAAATAGTATTAGTACAAATGAACATATTTAGTGCAAAAGAACAAACATATGTTCAATCGAACTAAAATCTAAAATTTTACCATTTGCCCATAAAATATTATAAGTACAAATGAACATATTTTAGTGCAGAACAAAAAATGTTCAATCGAACTAAAATTAAAATTAATTACCATTTGCCCATAAAATATTATTAGTACAAATGAACATATTTTAGTGCAAATGAACAAAAATATGTTCAATCAACCTAAAATCTAAAATTTCACCTATTACCCATAAATTAACAATATAATTTCCAGAAAAAAAATTAGTCCATTTGAAAATTTTTTTGAACATGTTCATTTGCACTAACGTTCAATTACACTAATATTTTTAGAAAAAAAATTATTCCGTTTGAACAAACCCAAGTTAAACCAGAGGACGTCCTAAGGTCGTCATGGGGACGTCAATAATTACCAGTGCGACGTCATATTTTAGGTGTTGAGGACGTTTAACGCACAGCTTCTTACGTCCTCGACACGACCAAACTTTTGAAGTCGAAATGACGTCACTTTGGACGTCCAAATTACCAAACTTTTGACTCCTTGAATACAATTCACTAATAAAACCTGATAAAAGAATTATTGAAAATATTATTCAATTGAAAACAAGTTTTTACAATAACAATATAATTGGACGAATTGGAAGTTTACTGAAATTCGATAATTTAATGGATTTAAAAAATTTCTTTAGCGTTGAGATGAAAGTTTTTTTTCTAGAAAAATATATTTCGATTAATTACTTTCTGATATTGCTTTAATGGAAAACATTAAATAAATGCAAAATAAGATCCATTCGTTGGGTGTTATTGAAAAAAAAAATTATATTCATTAAAAAATCTTATAATGAATTAGAATGTGAGAGGCTACGTGAAATTACAACTTTAATATCCATTGTCTCGTAGATTCATGAATTGATCGAGAGGGTCCCGTATCATATCCAAGAGGATCCTGTGTCGTCTCCAAAAAGATCTTTATCATCTCCCCGAGGATCCTGTGTCATATCCAAGAAAATACTATGTCATCTCCAAGAGGATCCTGTGTCATCTCCAGGAGTGTCCCGTGTCATCTCCAGGAGTGTCCCGTGTCATCTTCAAGAGGATCCTGTGTCATCTCCAAGAGGATCCTATGTCATCTCCAGGAGTGTCCCGTGTCATCTTCAAGAGGATCCTGTGTCATCTCCAAAAGGATCCTGCGTCATCTTCAAGAGGATCCTGTGTCCTCTCCAAGAGTGTCCCGTGTCAACTCCAAGAGGATCCTGTGTCATCTCCAAGAGGATCCTGTGTCATCTCCAAGAGGATCATGAGTAATATACATACAGTACATATGTGTGAAAAAAACCAAAATTGTCGTTTTACTCTTTATTTATAGCTAAATATACTTTTAATTTTCTTTGGGTATCTTTATGTCACATTTTAGTTGCATTGACCAATTATCACTTGATAAGTTCACATCACAGCTTTAAGTTTAATTTTCTGACAATTGTTTCGTTATAAGAACTAGAAAGATAAGGGCAACAACAAATACACAAACAGCTCAGGAATATACATAGAGAGATCTGATAAATGGCCTTAAAAACTGAGATGCTGGAGAGATCTGATAAATGGCCTTTAAAACTGATATTCTGGAGAGTTACATGTTTTTACATCTCAGGAATATCTATAGAGAGATCTGATAAATGGCCTTTAAATGAGATTCTGAGTTACATGTTGAGTTATACGTTTATATAGATCTGGCCAGCTTACATGTCTCCCAACTTGACTCCAATACAAGTTTTAAAGATGGCAGGCCTCGGCCCCTCCGCTAGGCAACATTCCTGAAATAGTAAATTCAAAAATGCCAATTGCCATCATGATCCTTTGATGTTTTTTTACTTTACCATCTTTCTCGTAGGGTGGGCAAAAGGAATTGAATTCTCAACGAAATAAGTTTTGCAAGTACTACAAAGGCTAGATAACCAGAAATGTATGAAATCAAACCATATTAATTGATTAATTCTGTAATTTAATTTTTAATAGTTTTAAATGGCTTTTAAGATCTATCTTCAGCGTTGAAATAATTTAACACTAATTGTACAATACAGGGTTACTTTTTTGCAATGAAAAAACTTGCAAGTTATTCAACCGCAGAATAATATCTAACCTGCAAGAATGTTGAGACGTCGAAACTAGAGTTCTTCATCATAGAAAACTGAAACTCGCTGATATCCAGAATTTCTCCTTCTGAAAGTTAATTTTGTTAACATTTTGTAGGAAAGACCAAGGGTGTATATTTCCTTGAAACAACCCACCCCCCAGTTAAATAGGTTTAGGATTTATTTACTAAATTGGGGAAAATAAAAATTGCCTTTTGGTTTCCAAATTTTAATATTTGTTCTTAAGAATTAGTAAGCGGCCAAACGCAGTTACTCGCGAATGCCGCAATGAATTATAAAAAGAGAAATTGGTTAAATTTCAAGATCAGGTTAGGTTAAGAAGCTGTCTGGGCCGAGCGCCGCGACTAAAACTGACTCTTCGTCTTATAATTCAATGCAACATTCGCAAGTAACTGCGTTTGGCCGCTACCTAAGATTTCTCAAATAAACACTTCTTGGACATATCTCGAAAATTATGAATGAATTTTGATTGTCAATTGAAACATTAATCAATCTAATATTATTTAGAATGCAGAAAATAAGTTAAACTAACTTCATTTTGACGAGAATTATTTTTTTAATTTTCATGAAAAATTTGCTGAAATGAGTGAAAATTAAAAAAACGGTGTATTTTCCAGGATAAAAATCCGTAGAATCCGTACGATTTGAAAACAAATCCGTACAATTTTAGGGTTTAAAAAAAAACAATCCGTACAATCCGTACATTTTGGCCACCCTGGTTATAGTAAAAAAATACATTTGGCTTCATGGGTTTTTCAAATAACCTCCTGATTGACTAGTTTTTAATATTTATAACTTACCGATAACCTCCTCTAGTGATTTCTCAATGTCGTTGGAGCAGAGAGACACCGCTACTATCCCTGAATTGAATTATATCAATGTTGTGTCAGAGTGGAATCCCTAAATGAGAACTTATGTATTTATCTTAATCACTTGATCTCAGTTTTAAGTGTTGAGCACCTGTAAATTTAAGGACCAATGCTTGATCCCTCAATATTAGTGCAATATTAGTGGTTCCTACAGAGAATGACTACCACGAAATTATATGAATACATGCTTCAGATGAAGATCATGGCTTGATCTAAAGATTGACAAAACAAAATGGATGAATATCTGGCTGTCTCGTGTTCATTAGTACAGTTAAAACCATAAATCAGTTGACAGGGGTGTATTTTTTTCAGAATTATATCTCCCACAGAAAGTGATTGATGAATAGGAGAACAAAAATCATACGTATATTCATTTCAGTTCAGCGAAAGAAAAAATGTCCAAAACAATGTAACACACGGTGGAAATCATACGTAGAACACGGTACTCTGTAAACCTTTGTCGGAACAGGGATGAAAAGTAAATCCTTAAAATTCCAACTAAAACACTGTTCTGTTTAAGAGGACACAAGTATGTATGCAGGCAGGAATGAAACATGAGATATGAGATTGCTGCAACAGAATTGTTAACAGTAAACAATATTTAAGAGTACCATTGTGAATCACAAATGCAATATTTAGACTAAAACAACGATACGAGATATTAAAGGTTTCCAATTAACGATTGCCTGTTCTTTAACGGTTGTATTTTACTTCCGCTCGTCAGAGTAAAAATATTGCATAATTTAATCAAAACTATCTTGTAGAAATGCAAATTTTCAGATTTCGTGTAAATTTTTCAGCCCCTTGTAGATTTCCCGAACCCTTCCCTTTTTCGATTCTTGAACCTTTACTTTAATTTAGCAATATAGCATTAAAAATCTACATTATTCAGTCATGAAAAGTTAAGACAAAAACAGGGGGGGGGGGGTGTTTACCTGGGTTGCCTACTCTGTTCATAGGGGTTTCTTGGTATGTGAAGAAGGAAAAAACCCTACCGGAGATCGGGACCTCGATCAATCCTAACACCTCATCTAAACCAAAACAGTCTTTTCAAATAAATATGAACAATCAAAGCTATCAAGGAGGTTCATTCCATGTCTTACTTCAACAAAATGTTGTAGCAATCCTCATTGTGTTAATATTCCCACAGCTAACAATTTAGTTTGGGCGACATTTGTTGAAGAAACGTTTAAAAATAAGAAATTAACGTCGCTAAATGTAACAAAAAAAGAGAATTAAAATTCAGAAATATCATTAAAAAGTTCACATGCCGAAAAGTATAAAAACTAATATAAAAAAGATAATAAACGTAATTATAATAAACCTATGAAAATCATAAACCCTATGAACTATAATAAACCTATGAACGTAGTTAAAATGAGTCAAAGCAAGGATGATTATAAAACTGTGTTCCTAAATGGGATTTAACAGCCGTAGATAGGTCCAGAATAGATGTAACTTTTCCTGCGTTCAGATAACAAAACTCCCATTTCACTTCGTCCGAAGCGGGGATTTCCACAGGGTCTATCTGAAAATAAATAATTAGGAAGGTTCCTAAAAACCCTTTTCCCGGAGGTGGGTGGGGGTGGGGCAAATAATGAGACCATGAAAAATTTGTACATTAACTTTTCTAACACAAGAAAACCATTAAAAACATACTTGCTGAGAAAAACATGACGTTTCATTATCAATTGGTAGTCATTTAAAACTTTCAGTCCATTCGTGGACAACAACGCTTTGTTGTAACTATAGAGAGATGGCAATGTCTGATTCAGAACAATACCCGTTAAACCTTTCTGATTAAATATGTGGATAATCTTTGAAAAATAATCAGCAATCGAAACTTCGACATTTTTGATATCGAGGGTCACTTGAAATTACGCTTTAATATCCGGCCCTTGATGCTTAGGATTACCAGGCAATAGTTAAGCATAGTACACCCCCCCCCCCCCTACTGGAAGTATGGGGTTGAAATGTTGGATAAAAAATTCAATCGGGAACGGGATAAATGCTACGTTGAAGATATGGATTCAGGGGATATTAGTTCCATGACTAACAATTGGCCCATTTCTAACACTGAAACGGTCAAGCGATTTAATATAAAACGAACGCCTATTATAATTTTGATTAAAAAAGTTTAAAATTTGTAATTGTCCTGGTCATGTTTAATAAAATATTGCTTATAGTTTTTGACTTTTACTCTGGATTTGGGCCGGGATCCCAAAAACCCAGTCTTTCAATTTGTACCCATTTCTAATACTCAATGTTAGTTTTGGAACTATTGTCCCCTGTGATTGCAAGACTGATAGAAAAGTCAACGTATAATTGATACCTTCTCCAGGAGACATTGAAGAGGAGGGTTGGAAGACAGATTTATCTTGAGGTTTATCTGTCTCGGCTTGTTTAAATCTAGACGACAGAGCGTCACAGTAACGTCGGAAAGCTTCTCATACTCCCTAAATATTGACGTTATAAATTTCACGGAGTTTAATTTAAGGATACCCCCCCCCCGGAGGAAGGAAAATAGATTAAGATGATATGGAAAAAAAAAATCTACTTGGTCCAGTAATATTAATCAATAAAATTTACTGTTGATACATACACAAGTTCCATCTCAAGTAGTCTGACTCTCAGAATTCTGGGCTGTCTGTATGCATGAAGATTCTCGAGAAGAGGTTTCAGATCTTCGGTAGATGGTATAGGTGGTCCTGGAACCCCAGCACAGTCAACGGTCCGGATCTGAATCTTGCTTGAGGCATGGTTGAGTAGTCTCCCCACCTCCACATAAACCTAAAACATTCTCATTTGAATACTTTAAGCTAGTGACTAACAGTTATATTAAAGACTAAACATCTTCTTAATTTTGTCACTTCTTAACTTGACAAGACTAGTCTTGAGTAGTCTCAACTTCCAAAATATCTCCCTAACTTCCAAACTGGACAACTTAACTTCCAAACTAGACAAGACTAGTAGTTGAGTACTTTCAAACAATAAGTCTAAACTTCCAAACTAATAGCCATTACTTCCTAACTAGTAGCCTTAACTTCCAAACTAGTCGTCTCTACTTCCAAACTAGAAGTCTCTTCTTCCAAACTAGTAGGCTCAACTTTCAAACTAGTACTCTCAACTTCCAAACTAGTACTCTCAACTTCCAAACTAGTAGATCCAGCTTTCAAACTAGCAGGTTCAACTTTCAAACTAGTAGGTTCAACTTTCACACTAGTGGATTCAACTTCCAAACTAGTACTCTCAACTTCCAAACTAGTACTCTCAACTTTCAAACTAGTACACTCAACTTCCAAACTAGTAGGTCCAGCTTTCAAACTAGAAGGTTCAACTTTCAAACTAGTAGGTTCAACTTTCAAACTAGTAGGTTCAACTTCCAAACTAGAAGTCTCTTCTTCCAAACTAGTAGGCTCAACTTTCAAACTAGTACTCTCAACTTCCAAACTAGTACTCTCAACTTTCAAACTAGTAGGTTCAACTTTCAAACTAGTAGGTTCAACTTTCAAACTAGTAGGTTCAGCTTTCAAACTGGTACTCTCAACTTCCAAACTAGACAACTTGACTTACAAACTAATCGCCTTATTGGTACAGCAGTGCAAATTAAACTTGTTCCTGGTTCTCGTGCATTAGCGTGATAGGAAACAAGATTCCGTCATATCATATTATTCCGTCTTGGACAGATATTAAGGTTTTTGTAAGAGACAGTTTATACAACTGGACTCTGGAGACACCAATACATACTTAGTAACTTTTTCCCAGACCTTTCTGCAATATAAATCTTAACGAGTCTCCTTCCAAAATTGAGGTCTGTACATTCAAGAACGTCTAGTTAGAACCCCACAACTCACAACAACTTGCATCAAACGGGCACCAAGGACCGTACAAAAACCATTTCAAAGGAGGTTTCCATGAACCCCTGCAGGGACCAGGAAACAGGTTTCTATCAAAACATATCTTAATGTCCTGGTGAGATATTAATGTTTGTCAAGCACACCCTGTAGAATGTAAATGCATAAGTATAAAAGAGCAAATATGGAAGATGATGATCGAAGAATTAAAAAAAGGTATGGAGTATGTTGAGGATGAAGAATGAGAGATAAAAAACTAGAAGGATTAGGATAAGAGATATAAGGAAAAAATGGAAGGTGTAGATTGTAGAGGAGAAAGGATTAGGATTAACATTAAGACAGAAGAGTAAAGGATAAAGATTTAGAATAAAGATCTAAAATGGAAGCTTTAAAATTTAGAATTAAGATGGAAGTTAAAGAGATAAATGATGCACTATTAAAATAAAGATATAAGTATAGGATAGCGATTAAAGGATTGTGACGAAGATGGATGGGTAAAATAGGAGTTCTTCAACAAGAAATGTTGCAAATTTGAGCCAAATAATTCCAAACTCCAAAATATAAAAGGTGTATATCTTGGAACCATCGAAATATCACTAGGGACAAGCAGATATGATTTGATGGAAACCTAATTGTACATTTTCGAAAGAACACTCATGACAATTTACATTGAACAAGGTAATTAATGGAATAACTTTGAACAGAAAAAAATTAACACTCTTTAGCACTTGAGGAAAACAACTGTGATAGCTTGCCCGTAAATTTAAAAATCTCGTGTGAATTTTTCTGAAGATTTTTTGCCTATGCCCCATGGAACCCTGGAGTTTCCATAAAAATGTTCAACCAATTCGGTCCAGCCGTTTAGCCAGCTATAGTTAACATATATATATATATATTAACAAATATATACAAACCTGCTCAGAAGAAGCGTCGCAGTTGACCTCGATTCTACATTCTCCCTTCTCCGAAATTAACTGGATCCTCACCTAAAACATAAGTACAATAAAATCAATTTCTTCAAAAAGTTGGATATTGTTTTTCTATGCAACTTTTCAGAAGTCTCGGCAGAATAAATCATGCTAAAGAATTTATTTTAAAAGTAAGCGGACAGCTCCTTGGCTTTACAAGTTCAATACAGTGTTACCTTCAAATGATGCAATGTAAAGAAGAATTGAAACTTATCAGGCTTTCACTTATTGATTTTTTTTTTATGAATTACCAAAGAAAGAAACATGTTCAGTCTCTTGCAGAGAATCATGAATATACAGGAGCCAGATTTATAACCATTTTTTTCTAGTGCGGATCTTAAAACTAACCGTGTTGAAGAGACTTGTGAGGTACTCCTCCAGGTTTCCGGATAAATCATAGACGAGAACCGCAATACATCCGTCCTAGGAACATTCAAATATTATCTTGCAAAATAATCTTCTACATCATTTACGCGATTTTTATCAGTAATTGCAGAAAAATGTAGTCAATTAAAAGGTCGACTTAGTAAATAAAGTAATTTTTATGCATTTTTAATAATTTAGTCTTTTCTCAACATTGATTTAATTCTCCCGTACTAGCGTTAAAGGGAGTGACAGGCTATGTAGGGAGGTTGAACCGTGTATACAGTGTTGTGGAAAGCTTCTTTCGGATTCATTTGAGCCATATTAAACTTTTTAAAGATCTGTAAATCCTGAATTTGAGCGCAAATTCGATGTTGAAAACTCCTACTTTGGGGGTGGATACGTTTTCAGAATTAGTTTTCTTTAAATTATTAAATAACGACGAAATAAAATGTAAAAAAGTTCTACAATAAACTACAGACGTCATGTATAGGAACATGTTGAGAAAATAAAAATTTATCTTTTCATCGAAAATAAGCAATCTTGTTCAATTATTAGTTTCTATTATCTCATTATTTTGGTTCCTCATTATTCACAATGATTTTCGCAGATTTTCTAGAATTATTATTGAAAAGACATTTAAAGAGTTTGAAGAAATCTGCGAATAAATTCAAACAAAATTAGAAATTCAATATAATAATGAAAATGAAATAATCGATCTTAGCATTGATCTATTGACAAATTTCTTTTGAGAAATATGTTCGTTACCATCCAATTAGATTACTGTATAATTTTTACTTTATTTTTATGTTGTCGTTATTTAATAATTAAAAAAAAAAAACTAATTCTGAAACGTATCCACCCCCAAAGTAGGAGTTTTAAATGTTGAATTTGCGCTCAAACTCAGGATTTACCGATCTTTAAAAAGTTTGATATGTCTCATATGAATCCGAAAAAAGTTTTCCACAACACTGCATACTCAGTTCAACTACCTTACATAGCAGGTCAATCCCTTTAATAAACTTAAAATTGAATCTTTCTGAGTTGAAAACTTTAGAATGGTGGATATAGAGATTAATGCTTGATCCACTCTTTTCTTAATATCGAGACTAACCTAATTTTGAACTTGTCTCACAATAAGTGTATAAAATTCAACCAATCAGAATCGCGTACATGGAAACAGATAAATTTGAAATTTAGCGCGCCATTTAAGATTAATATACAATTTTAAAAACCGGTTTTTTAATTTTTCTCTAATTTATCAAAGAAAGAATGGTATAAGAAGAAAATCCAAAGTGTGTCCATTGCATGCTCAGATTAAGTAATAGAGATAAGGGATATCTCATTCTAAAGTTTTCAGCTCAGGGTGAATAATTGATAAGAAGGGAAAATACTTAGTATTGCTCGTTAAAAATGTGAATCACCTGGGAGAGAGCGGATAGCAGAGCATGTTCTTCAAGCTTCAGTACCGTTTCACCGTTTACAAGAAAGGGGGTATACCTAGAGATAGAGGTTTAAGGTTTACTAGAAGAGGTAACACCTAGACATAAAGGTTTAAGGTTAACTAGAAGAGGGTGTACCTAGACATAGAGGTTTAAGGTTAACTAGAATAGGGTATACCTAGACATAGAGGTTTAAGGTTTACTAGAAGAGGGTATACCTTGACATATAGGTTTAAGGTTTACTAGAAGAGGGTGTACCTAGACATAGAGGTTTAAGGTTAACTAGAAGAGGGTATACCTAGACATAGAGGTTTAAGGTTAACTAGAAGAGGGTATACCTTGACATAGAGGTTTAAGGTTTACTAGAAGAGGGTATACCTTGACAAAGAGGTTTAAGGTTTACTAGAAGAGGGTATACCTTGACATAGAGGTTTAAGGTTTACTAGAAGAGGGTATACATAGACATAGAGGTTTAAGGTTTGCTAGAAGAGGGTATACATAGACATAGAGGTTTAAGGTTTACTAGAAGAGGGTGTACCTAGACATAAAAGTTTAAGGTTAACTAGAAGAGGATACACAAAGACAGAGGTTTAAGGTTTACTAGAAGCGGGTATACCTAGAGATAGAGGTTTAAGGTTACCTAGAAGAGGATACACCTAGACATAGAGGTTTAAGGTTTATTAGAAGAGGATATACCTTGAGATAGAGGTTAAGTTTTACTAGGAGTGGGTATACCTAAAAATAGGTTTAAGGTTTCCTGGGAGGGGAGTATACCTAGAAAAATAGGTTTAAGGCTTACTAGGAAGGGGGTATACCAAGACAAATAAGTTTAGGGTTTACCAGGAGGATAATACAAAAACAAATAGGTTTAAGGTTTAATAATAATAATCAGTAATAAATATAAAGATACTTAACACAAGTTGCAGAACAACCAGAAGATCGAACTAATCGGATCAGGGGCGTATTCAGTAATTTGTCCTAGAGGGGCCCTCAGCATTCATCGGGGCCCAAAATACGCCTCTGATCCGGATAGATTAAAGTTTGAGAAAAAGAACTGAAATAAATATTCTTACTTCCTAATTCCGCTGTCTATAGCCCAGCTGGCGACAGTTTCGCCTGACATCCGAGAAAAGTAGAAGTCGCTGAAGAAAGAGCTATTCCTAAAAAAAAATAATTTAAAGGAAATTTTTATTTTAGGTTAACAACTGAACACAGTCCGGTTCAAAACGCATCACACTTTCCCTGAATGGTTTGACAAATCCATAGAACTGATTATTGATTAGCTCGTATATCCATGAAAAAATGACAAATTATTAGTTTTTAAAATTAATTTTCTAAATCAGAACAATTCTTTTTAACAGGAGGAAAATAAGCTAACTTGTTTAATATAAAGACGTACGTTTCAGAACTTACTTTAAATTATTGCAAAACTGACCTGAAGGTTTTGATACAAATACTGGTCAACTGTTCTCTTGGCTCTACGTCTGACAACTCCAAACCTCCAAAATGTAGGAGCCTACAGAAAGCCAAACTTATCAGTTTCAAATAAACCGACAAAAATTTTCAAATTTTTTTCTTTTCTTTACCCCCTCCCCAGAAGTTAAATTTGCTGGCGCAGAATTATTTTAAAGGGTTTTATTTACCGAATGGAGGTGAAATAAAAGAGTCCTAAATAATATTTTTAAGTACCAAATAAATGAAAAAGTTGCTTTTGTTGTCCAATTTAATTTTCCAATATCATAAAAATACCCCCCCACACTTGGGGGTAATTATGAAAAATAAACGACGAGTTTACTGTTCATAATCTCAGTATAATTAGATGAATAAGTCTAGGTGCCTCAGAGATCTTGATCCACTAGCAAGAGAAGAGAACGTGTCACTTAAGCTAATCTGACGACTCTCCACCTTCATCTCACCACCGTACTAAACAATATAATAAATACTCCGCCCTCACCTCACAAAATACTAAAATAGAATATTCCGCCCCAACCTCACCTAATAATAACCTCGGAAAATAATAAATATAATATAATACTCCGCCCTAACCTCGGAAAATAATCAATATAAAAGAATATTCCGCCCTAACCTCACTTAATAATATAATACTCCGCCCTAACCTCGGAAAATAATATATATAATAGAATACTCCGCCCTAACCTCGCTTAATAATATAATACTCCGCCCTAACCTCGGAAAATAATATAATAGAATACTCCGCCCTAACCTCGGAAAATAATATAATATACTTCTCCACCCTAACCTCGGAAAATAATAAATATAATAGAATACACCGCCCTAACCTCACTCAATAATATAATACTCCGCCCTAACCTCGGAAAATAATATAAAAGAATACTCCGCCCTAACCTCACTTAATAATATAATACTCCGCCCTAACCTCGGAAAATAATAAATACAATAGAATACACCGCCCTAACCTCACGTAATACAAAAGAATACTCCGCCCTAACCTCGGAAAATAATAAATATAATAGAGTACACCGCCCTAACCTCACGTAATACACAAGAATACTCCGCCCTAACCTCGGAAAATAATAATGAACGAAAGCTTAAATATTATGCCTAGTGGGTCAGGTATAACCACTACACGAATATACAAGAAAATAACCACAAAAATATAAATATTTTTTAAAAAAATGTTTACCTCTGTAAAAGGTCACTTAAGTTTCAGAAAAAAAGTAAGTTAAGAAAATAAATCTCACCCCAGAACAGGTAGTGCGGAGTTGGAAGGATGGGAGGCTAAAGGCAAACAAAGGGGCCAGGTACTGCCGAACCTCCTTCTCCATATCCTCCTCGAAGATCTCGAAATGAGAAACCTCTACATTGCTCTCTTCCGCTAATCTAGATTACTATAGTTAATCATGGTGTTAAAGCCCGTCGGTTAAAGGGTCTAACAGGAGAATTTTAGTACTTCGGCAAGCATCAACATTCTAACATTTTGTTTTAGATAAATTTTAGTGCTATCCACCAACTTCAATTAAAAGTATTAATTATAAAAAACCTTTTTTATAAAATGGCTTTCTGTGACAAAAAAAACAACATTTTAATGAAGATTAAGATTATCAATTTTATCTAAATATTGTTATATTCCAGACAGTCATTTAAATCTTTAAAGCTTTTAGCCGATTTAAAAATTCAGATTTTTAAGGGTTCCTGCCATTGTTTTTGCAGTAGAAATGCGCGAAAAAAAAAATTGGTTCACGATTTTATCGCTTTTGAGATGAAAATGCGCGAATTTACTCACGAAATCTTCGCAAAGCGTTTAGTTTTATTACATAATTGTCCAAAGGGACGTCAAGTAACTTGACGTCCCTCTGTTAGGGTGAAAATATCAAACAAATTTACCTGTGAGAAGAGCTGAAGAAATCTCCAGTGATAACACTGACGGTCAGCATCACTTCTCGCTTTGGGTGCAAGAACAACTTATAATACCTTGACAAATTGTATAGTTAACACGGATGAGAGGTGTACTGACTGATAAATACAGATTTTTAGGGGAAATAAAACGATGAATACTTTGCACGAACAAGGTTCACATAAATTTCTTGAGAAACTAAAAATATTTGAAAAAATCCTCAGAGTTTCGTCTAACGTATAACAAGTTTCTTAGCTATAAAAATAGACACTCGATAATATGTCAAGAACCCGGCTAAGCCTAAATAACTCCCTACCGTTTACCCGCGAAAGGTCTTAAATTACGATTTCAGCTTTTGTGCCCAAAGTCGACCCACTCAAAATTAAGCTAAGAACATTTCCGTGGTTCTGCAGAAATACCCCCCCCCCCGTATCACTCAAGTTAAAAATATTAAGATACTATACTAATTGAGTAAAAAGCACCTCTCAGTTAGATGTGGAGGGATACAGTAATCGGAGGTATTCTCGAGAGAAGTATATATCAACATGGTAGCTAGTGGCTGATCTTCCACGCCACCCGAGTTCCCGCAAGTCTATACGAACGAACTCTTTCTTACTGGAAGACAAGAATATCGCGAAATTGAAACATTAACATTTTCACAATTCCATAATTATACCCCACGGCCCCCCTTTCCGAATCCGGACAAAGAAGGTCTGTTAAAATCCAACTCCTCAAACCATGGTATTGATCTTAATATTCAATGAAGACATCATTTTAGTGAATATTGCTGAAATTGAAAAAAGCCAGGAAAATATTAATCTTGAGGACTGAAATTTTGAAATTTGTTAAAAAATAATATTTAACATATAGTAGAAAGAATTTTTCCTCTAGTACTGCTTTTTGACTCGTTTTCGTGATCATCTCGTCATCGTGTAGAATCCAGCTCGATCCAGACTTAACAAACACCACGTAGTGGGGTTTGTTTAACTAAATCAAAATAAACATCAAACAAAGTATAAAACGTCGAGTGTCCAGTCTCAAGCATCAAGTGTCGAGTATAAAGATCAACAGTCACCCATCAAGATCAAGCATAATCAATCAAGATTCAACCAATCAACTATCAAGTGATCACCAATCAACCATCAAGATCACCCAGTCGAATATCAACCAATCAACTATCAACCAATCAACTATCAACCAATCAACTATCAACCAATCAACTATCAACCAATCAACTATCAACCATCAAGATCAACTATCTGCATCAAGATCTATTATCAAGAATCAACCATCAACCATCAACCAATCAACTATCAACCCAATCAAATGTATATTTCAAACCAATGAAATGTACATTTGATGTTAAATTTTCCTTGAATTTGTGTACTATCACTGCAGTAAGTTTGTAGAAGCTAGAGAACTTATGCATCGTCGATGCAGACAGTTTATTTAAAACCTTCGAGTTGAGATCTAAATATAAAAAAATATGGCTAGGTACACAATGGTAGAGATATAAGTAAATCTAATGTAGTTCATTTTCTGAAATATAGGTGCCAGGCTAGTAGGGCACTTCGTGCCCTCATCTAGTGTTCTCTTTGTGTACATTATTAAACAATACAAAAAAAAGTTCGCGTATTCCATAAAAAATTCAGCCCCTTTAGTCCAGCTCGTCCAGCTGTTTACCCGGATATAGGTGACTTACATATGAATATCTTGTTATATTATGTTGACAAAAAGACAGACAAGAATAATAAATCTATAGATTAGGTTATTAGTGACTTCGTGGTTAATATAAATAAATGGGAAGGAAAACCTCAAACCCCCGTGGATAAGTAAACTCAGAATGATCTGTAAATAAATGGGAAGGAAACCCCCAAACCCCTGTGGATAAGTAAAATCAGAGTGATCTGTAAATAAATGGGAAGGAAAACCCCAAACCCCTGTGGTTAAGTAAAACCGTAGGTATGCGTGAAGTTAAGTCAGTAAACATGTGGGTAAAAATATTTGGGTATGTACATGTTGGTTAAGGAAAGAACGTATAAAATAAATAAAAATGTAGGTGGGAAAATACTGTCAATACTGGTCAGTGTACATATAAGAGGATATATTATGATATGAAATGAAGAATAGCATGTAGAATAACATGGGGAATAACATGTGGAATAACATGTGGAATAACATGTGGAATAACATGCGGAATAACATGTAACACGTAGAATCAAACGTAGAATCAAACGTAGAATCAAACGTAGAATGAGATGTAGAATGAGATGTAGAATGAAATGTAGAATGAAATGTAGAATGAAGTGTAGAGGTGATCTTAAGTGACTCGAGAAAATAAAGCAATGCCCGCCATTGCAACGGTATCCTTGAAGCCGTGATATGATCAAAAATGTGGAGAAGATGTTACGTAGTTTTCATTAAACTCAACAAGTGTTTACGTCAGTGAATTTCTCTAGGGTTACTTTAAAGCAAAAAATGCGCAGTCACTTTTTAAAGAAAACACAAATAAAAAATAAACAAAAACAAAAAATGGATAATTGATTTATTTTCTAGGACCGAATTGAGTTGCGTCGCTGAACTACTCACTGCCGATTCAATTTCAAGGTAAAGAAAGGATTTGAATTGATTCAAATTGAACCGGCGCAGTTGAAATTCACTAAATTCGGTGCTGATCTAGTGATCATACAAAGTTACCGTTGTAAATCGGGTATTGCGAATAAGGTCACTTGAAATTGCATTTACAGTCCCTTAGAGATAAGAAGCCTGTAAATCAAATCAATTGATTAAATACCTGTCGTGAACTGCATTTTTCTGATTTCTCGTTCACCAGTGTCCGCTACACGGTTAATAGAGAAGATCAGGTTTGAAGCGAGCTTCTTGAAAGTATCATGAATTTCCTAGAATTAATCAAAGCGTTAATTTTATTCGACTTCTTCACAGAACCAAAGCCCCCGATTTAATAGCTTCAGCTAGAGTCGTAATTCCTTAAATACAGATGTAATGCTCAATCTTGGAGACTTGGACCCAACTCTGACGACAGCTTGTGTCACTTGATACAGCTGCAATTCTTCAGTTAGACTTGCGGAGATGGGCCCGATGAAAAAAACCGTCTCATCTTATCGTTAATGTTTTATTCTTATCAAATCCCATAATCTAATCCCAGAGCCCGCCAATCTTGACCATGAAAATCCACAAAACACAATATTAAACCGGTTTTTATAAACTCAACTCGGCAGTTTTATATCAAGACTGGAGTCGAAAATAAGGCTCAATGAAAGCTTACACCTGAGCACCTGAATCGTATTTTCTGAGTCACGGGGTTTCCATTTAACAGAAAATGAATTATTTACTCTCAGACAAATTAGTATCAATGGAAATTTAAACCCCCTCGGGATTCAATAACCCCGAGGGCGTGCTCTGTTTAAATAAAACTTCTTAAATTGGCAAATCTGCGATATAAATAAAAAAATTACATTATTGTTAGGATAAGTCCAGATCAAAACTTAAGCAGGCTTTTAAACTCGGCACTACTAAAACCTACTTCAATTAAAATCGGTTCTTAAACCAAAAATTTTACTTGTCAAAAATCCTCAATATTGTCGACAATCGGATTTATATTTTCAAAAATTCAAATAAATGGAAATTTCTGCTAAAAAAAAATCGAACACCAATAATTGGATATTTTTATATTTTTAACCAAATTAAATAGTTAATAAAATTCATTTAGAATCAAGAATTTTAATTCAATGAACATGGAAGGTTTTGAAGATCTTTCGTAAGTGATGCTTAAAATTGATCGTGAAACTAAGATAATGCGGAGGATCCGGATTTTAAGCACTGCTGAAAACCTTGTAATTACCTGCTCCAACTTGGTGTCCTGTCCGCCGGGGTTAAGGTATATAAAAGACTCCTTCCCCCCAGCTTCACCAGTACAGTATACCAACCTAAACAATAACATTTTATTTATAAATCAAGGCTTTAAGTGAACTGTTTAGTTGCCCAAATACTGCCTAAAAAGACTTTAAAGTAAAATCAGTAAAAATTACATCAAAAAAACTTTTTCGGACCGGCCGCATTTTGACAGTCAGTTAGTTAGGGGTTTGATTTTTACTATAATAAACTCCCCGACTGTTAAAAATAAAGTTTTTTGGAGACTACGTTAAAATATCCGTCAAAAAACCCAGAAGAATCAGCTTAAAGTCATGAAACGAAATTTTTGTTTAATGTAAGACCTTTGAATTGATTTCTACAATTTCTAAAATATTAATTTGCTTAAAATTCCCTAGGTGGCATTTTCTGAAAATTGAGACCGGTAGCCTGCATATAAACATAATCCAAAGAAAAAGTTGAGGTGTTTTGACTTGAAACCTGATGTCCCATTTTCAGCAGTGTGTGCCCTACAGAATTTAATAAATAAAATCTGATGGTCCATTTTCAGCAGTGTAGCACTAATAAATAAAAGCGCTCAAAATTTCCCAATTGAAGCCCTGTAGTGCACTCCTGAAAAATAAAGTTCCCTAGGAATCTTATCAAAAGAAAAATTTCTTACCTTTCAAAGGATTCCTCGAGAGCAGTATTCTTCAGGTAATCCTCCAGAGAAGATAAGATCTCCATGAGGAACTCCGCACAGTCACCTTCGTGGTTAATATTCTTTTGCCAAACCTGTACAAGAATACATGTCAATTAACTAATCGTCGCTTTCATTTAACCCTCTGATCAGTGCTAAGGATGCGGATCCGTATCATATTTAGCTTCCCGGCTTTCCGGATCAAAGGGGCAAAATATGAATCAAAAACTGCAAACAAAAATATTTGCTCTCAGAACCCAAATCTGAGTACAAGGGGTCCGGATCCTAAGTATGGAATCCTGGTAAGAAGTGTACACGTTTTTATCTCATGATTAGAATTCATTTAAGTAATATTAGTAATTATCAGGACAGTTTCATTTCTTATATATCTAAATATTTGTGAATGTATTTAATTAAAATTTTGTACACGTAACTTAAAACTTAGTACAGGGTTCTTCCAGGTGCAAATTTGGGTCAGTTTACCTGACCCGATTAACCTGAGGGATAAACTCACCCGGACCAAATATAACGCCCGGTCTGGATGTAACGCTACACCGGGGTACTATTTCCCCCAAGAATCCAGCCCATTCGGTACAGCCGTTTGGCTAGCAATAGCAAACATATAACTATACATACAAAGATATGAGCAAGAAGCTTTATTATAAAGATAAAACTAATAAAGGTCGTATGAAATGTGAGAAAAGATTTAGTTTTTTAGTGCATAAGGTGTCTAACGTAACTAAGATTTATCCTATTAAACCACTGCCCACACTGCTGAAAATGACCCATCAGGTTTCCAGTCAAAACACCTAATGTTTTACTTCGGAATATATTAACATGCAGGCTTCTGAGTTATTATCTAAATTTACAGAAAATGTCACCTAGGGAATTTTCATTAAATCCATTTTAAGGAAATTGTAGAAGTAAAGTGCATTTTTAAGTCTAGACTCAACCATAACTGAAGGTTCAAAGATCCAACAAGATAAATCCGTTTTTTTGTAATATTTTTAGAACCGTAGATGGCAGGATCCCCAAATTTTGTAAATTTTCCTCAGCAGTCATAAGACATGTTCAAGCAAAAAAAATAAAAGCCTTAAGCGAACTGTATAGTTGCCAGATTACTTCCTAAAGAAGACTTGGAGTAAAATCAGTAAAAATTACACCAAAAAAACCTTTTCAGGTCGCATTTTGACAGTCAGGCAGTTGACTTAAGGGTTCGATTTTTTGCTACAGTAAGTTTCACGACTGTTAAACTATAAAAATTTGGAGACCATGTCATACTGTAAAATAAATATCATCAAAAAACCAAGAATAAGCAGATTTAAGTCTTGAAACGAAATTTTTGTTTAATTAAGACCTTAAATGCCCTTGATTTCTACAATTTCTTACAATTGATTTGCTCAAAATTCCCTAGGTGGCATTTTCTGAAAATTGAGATAATACTTGCTTTATACTTGTACCGCAAATATAATCATCAATCTGTAATTGTTAACTCGTTCTGTACACACATGCATGTATTTTAGCAATAAACTTTCTTATCTTATCGTATCTTATTTCAGTAGCCTGCATATAAACATAACCCAAAGAAAAAGTTTAAGTGTTTGGACTTGAAACCTAATGTCCCATTTTCAGCAGTGTGTGCCCTACAGAATTTAATAAATAAAAACTTACCTTGCAAAAGTTACTCATACACTCCGATATCTCATCTTCTCCGACCTGAACATATAATCTTATCAGGAAAAGTAAACTTGGAGAGGAGTATAAGGAAGGAAAAGAAAGACAAGTCTAAGGAAAGGAAATAAAAGTCTAAGGAGAGGAAATAAAAGTCTAAGAGAGAGGAAATAATAGAGCTATGGAGAGGAAATAAAAGATCTATTGAGAGGAATAAAAAACCTAAGAAGAGCGAATAAAAAGTCTGAAGAGGGAAAAAAAATCTAAGGAGGAAGAATAAAAAGGTCTAAGAGGAAATAAAAAGGATAAGAACATGGAATCAAAGAGCTATGGAGTGGGAATAAAAGGGCTCAGAAGAGACAAAAAATGATCTTCTATGGAGAGAAAATTAAATTTCTCAGCTGAAGGAATAAAATAGCTACGTAGAGGAAATTAAATTTCTCAAGAGAGGGAATAAAAGATCCATGCAGAAAAATTACTGTGGCTGCTATGGAAAAGAGAAAAAAAAATGGCGCAGGACAAAGAATAAAGATCATTCGAGAGGGAATAGAGCTATGGAGATTAAATATAAAAGACTGATATGATTTTTAAAAAATCTTAGAACCATCTATATATAAATTTGGCTGTCTGTCTGTATCCAATAACCGTCAAAACGGTTGAACCGATCGGGCCCAAATTTTTTGTGGGGCCTCACTTGAGCCCAGGGAAGGTTTATGAAAGATCAAAATTTTAAAAATTTTTGTTTTTAAGTTTTTTATTTTTGAAAAAAAATTGAAAACCTGCAAAAAAATATTATGAAATTCGGAAACTTTTTTTGTTTTTGTTTTATACTTTACAAAGAGAAGATGTTCAGAGATAAAGCCACAATTAAAAGTTGAAATAGAAGATGGGCGCGAAGCGCCCTAAAAGCCTAGCATTTAATAAACAGCGATACTAAATTAATATGTCAATTGTAGACTTAGTTGAACCAGCTCTCTTCATCTTGAGCCGACGCAAAAAAGATTTGGATTAACTAAGTCTCTGTAAACATTAAACCTTGAGATCAGTAAAAAGAGGAAATCAAACATTGATCTTGATTTACACATCAAAAGTTTGCAGCTCTGGTCTCTTAAAACATTAAATTCCCGTTGTAAGATGCTACCTGGTTAAGCAAAGCAGTTAACATGAGCTGAAGAGCTAGAATCTTGTCACCTGAAAAAAAGGGACATGAAAAGCTTCTATACATTACTACCCTGGGGGAGTAAGCAACTATTAACCAAATCAAAAACCAAAATTAATCTTGGAATTAAGAAATATGCGGACCTATGGATCCGGCTCAATTTTAAATTTTTTCACTCAGCAAAAATGATGAATGTAAATAAAAGGATATCATTAAAAGTTCCTAGTCATAAAATCGAAAACAATTGTTAACAAATTAGAACTGGTTTTGGAACTTTGTTTTACAGGAGGATCCTGGATTCGGATCAAAACAAAATGGGTCCTAGGCGCCAGAAGAGATAACTCATAGAGTTAAAATTCTACTCATTGATCATGGTTTCAGCCAAGGAGAATTGAATAGAAGGAGGGGGCGATAGGGTTTCCGTACACTTTGCTGTCACGTTTTTGGACTGCTTTTTCGTAACAATAACAAAGGCAGCCGATCTAATGCAAAAAACATGATTTAGTATACGGTGAATCTTCATCTAACGCCAGAGATGCCAGATGTCCGTTTATCATATGTGTTATTGTTTACAATCTTTATTTTTGTTGTTACGCAAAAATTAATTGTCCAGCAGTCCAAAAACGTCACTGCAAAGTGTATGGAAACCCTATCGCCCCCTCCTTCTATTCAATTCTCCTTGGCTGAGACCATGAATAATGAGTAGAGTTTTAACTATCGCCCCCTCCTTCTGTTCAATTCTCCTTGGTTTCAGCGAGATTAAATAAAATATATTTTCTTTCAACTTAACCGTTATTTACTCAAAAACTTTGTGAAAACAAAAAAAGGTTACTATTTGAGACACTGTGCACTATGTAAATACAAAAAATGCTGCTTTATCTTTTCTCTAGAAGTAGAGATGCAGGTTCTGTATTAACATTAAAAACGAACAATTCTTGAATTAATCCAAAAATTGTGAATTATGGTCATTCTCAGGACGACAGTAACAGGTTTTCTTTTCAGATGTAATATGGTTTTTTTTTAAAGGGAGAACCTTTTGTCAGAGAAGTAAAAAAAGAACGTCAAAAAGCAAAAAGAATAAAAAAGAAATAAGAAATGCCAAAATTTTCAGAATTGTTCTCAAAAAATTAATAACTAAAAAGAGAACCCGTCCATCGTTTATAAAATTTCAACGTATGTTAAATATGCATTAAATCTGCCTTATTTTAAAACAGAAAAAAAGAAACTTAGTTTTATTTTCTTAGCTATTGTTACAACCATTACACCCCTGATGGCGAAAGGACAATCAACGTAACTTAAAACCAAAACATCAGGTTATGGTGGTATATTTAAGCCTTTCTGTAATTGATTTTCGCTGACAAGTTAAAAAATTAAAAATCTTGCAAGGATATTAATTCTGTAGGGGCGTCTTCTTTTTCACCTTTTAAGAAAATAGTCTATTTCTCCAATTTAGCATTAACTAAATGGATTATCTCCCAGGTAGACTAAGGATTAAAATACAATAAAAAATCATGGGGAAATCGCCCCCCCCCCATACGACTTTATGTATAAATGACCAGTCACCAGTTTGAAAAAACCCTTGATTCAATAAAACTTACTGTCGAATGAGGACTCGGTCGGTATAGCAAGAATCACGTCACGATAGCTTTTCACATTAGCCAAAACCTTGAATAAAATGCTTGTAAAATTATATTTGTATCAGTGCTTAACATGCGGGGGGGGGGATAAAATAAGTTGTTTCTAATATGAATTCTTCCCCCTCATTTCCTCGATAAAATTATGCCTGAATTTTTAATGATAGCTTAGACATTTGTGTAAATCCCGAATTTTAAATTTCGAAATATGGAACTATTCTGTATCATTACTAAAAGGTTCAACAATATATATAATGCTGGTACTAAAGAAGAAATACTTAAACTAAAGCTAGTCCTGCAATGATTGATCATCACGGGATATAGAAGAGGAATAAAATTAATCCGCGGGTTTTCACAAGATGGAAGTCAATGCTTGATCCGGAGATTCGCAATACACACTGCCGACTTAAGAATACTAATAATCCAGATCGCTTACTCTCGATATCCATTGTGGGCACTTTTATTTGAGGATTAATGCTTATCTTTTAGAGTCAGTTATCACTTTAAGGTACAAATACACTGCGAATATCGCATTAAAGATAAATAATATTCAGATTAAAAAAGATAAATAATATTAAAAGCATTGATCTCAACATCCACTTTACACGAGTTTAAAGCTTTGGCCAGTAATCTTAAAACCACACTTCTTCATCCGCATATTTGAAATTCAAGATTAAATAAGCAAGTAACCTTTTCCTCATTAACATATAGTCAAAAAAACCTGTATAACGGAGCTCATGAAACAGATGCTTTCAGGGTTAGGAATACCAACCGTCAGACTGATCTGAAAAATGATATTTCAAGGAAATGTCCAAATTTCTTATTCACGTTTCCTTGTATAATGTCAGGTTATGTTTGGCATTTTAGATCTGTCAATTCTGACATTTTTCAGGATTAAAAAAAGATGTGGCACCCTATGGAGCCATTATAAATTTTTTTAAGTTTAATTTTAAGATATCAAAAAATTAAGTGAATTTTCAGGTTAATTTTAAGATATTTAAACAAATGCAGGCTCATTTTTTAAAATAATTGTCATTTGACATTTCGCACCAAAAAGTTAAGGTCTGAGTCATTTTCGGACAGTATCTAGGTAGCCAGGCAGTTGGCTTAGGGCTACGATTACTCTTATGTCCAGTAAAAAATGTAAAAAAAACGCCTGAATTTACAGAACTAAAAACAACGCCGAAAAACCTGAAATTGTTTCAACAGTGTGTACTAAATATACCAGATATTTAATATTTAGGTTCGGGCATGCGCATTTTTTCATTTTAACAACGTTATCGTCAATTAATGAACTTAAATTTTTATCAGCAGTAACGAAAAAGTAACACTAAAACGTTGCGCCTTGAAGCCTGAAGTGCGTTGAAAAAGTATCTAAAGTGAAGGTTAAGCTCAAATCCGTGCGATACTACCTCGCCGATCAGAGTGCACAGACAAACATAAGTTACCCCACACAATAAGAAAACTGAATTTTTTTATCTGGAATATTTGAAAATTACAGGACTGGAGCAAGATGGATTAATGCAATTACTTCTCAATAAAATACCTCATAGTTTCACCCAAGGAGATATTGAATAGAAGGAGGGGGCGATAGGGTTTCTGTACACTTTGCTGTGACGTTTTTGGACTGCTGAAGAACTAGTTTTTGCGTAACAATAACAAAGGCAGCCGATCTAATGTAAAAAAACATGAGTTAGTAAACTGTTCAAGTAGTATTTTTAACTTAATAAAAAAGGTTAAAAAAGGTATGATTTTAGTTCTATACGAAAAGGACCTTATTACAGAGACATTTTCGACCAAATTCGAGGTTGTCCTGTCTTAGCACTGGTTTAACGAATATTCTTATGAATCGGTAAAATCACAAAATAAAATGAACCTACTGAGAAGACAAAAGACAACCGATTTATAGAAGGAATATAATTATATCGTGCACCAGGGGTATATATTTCCCAAAAATCTTTAGGCCATCTGAACAAAAAAAAACCAGTGCTTAGAATACGGAACCGTTGGATCCGCAAGATTTTGGCTTCCTGGATCCGGATCCGCAAACATATGCGGATCCACGGGTCCGGATCTAATGGATAAAATATCAACCAAATACTGCAAAAACAACTTATTACTTCCTAAAATTCAAATCTGAGCAAAAAATTTAAAATTGTTTTTTAATAAAAAGTTCTTTTGATTTATAAGAAATGCAGTGCAGATCCAGGATCCGGATCCTAAGCACTGCATATCACACTCCAATTCAACGAATAAAACTTAAATCATTTACAACTTATGGGTAAACAAAAGATTTTCACACGGGGGATATTTTGAGAAAATATTCCCTCTTAATTGCATTAAGTAATACTAAAATGCTCGCCTACGCCTCAGGGCTTATTGATTTAAGCCCGTCATGATGGAAAATGGTGTATTTAAGGATTATTAGAATATTAATTCGAGAAAAGTTGTTAGGGTCTTCTTAAACCAGTAACAGGTACAATATATACTCAAAAGTTCATAAGTAAAAAAAAACATGAGTATGCTGAATTATATTTTTTAACAATTAACCAAAAGAAGGGAGGTTGATACGCTGCGGAAAATCTCAAGGAGGGACTTCGAAAGGCAAGTTTCTTAAATTACAGTACAATTTTAGGAAAGAAAATGAAAATCTAGATGAAGTTTAGCCTTTTGATAAGTATGACATAAATTAGCGAGAACCGGAATTTTACTAACCTTACTCGCCATCTTGTTCTTCTTAGAGACCGTATCAGACGTACTTGCTTCACATACTAAAATAGAGGATAGGTTAAACTCGATAATCCTTGAAATGAGAATCGGTCGGTTTTACTTGTTGAAATTACAGAAGAAGATCTAGAGAAATGTGACGCGATTATGAACACTTACAAAGATACCTTTCAGTACTTTAACCTCAAGTTATTGATTGTACACATGATTCAATCATTTAAGGGAAATTAATGATCTACTAAGAGGGAGGGGGAGGGAGGGGGGGATACTCTGAACAATTGTTTAATAATTAAACCCCGCCGGGCATTAACTAAGTTTCAACATAATATTTTTTGTTTTACTTCCAATTTAGGTTAGGTCAAAATTCAGCAGAGTCCTAAAGCTAGAACATGCTAGGGGCCTGGCACTGCGGCCTAATGTTAATTCTACACTAAGATACTGTGAAAAAATGGATGGAAGGTAGGGAGGCGGGGCGGGGTTGTGTCAAAATATCATACGAGGAAATAACGTATTTTCAAAACAATT